AAATTCTCTTTAAAGTTCCTTGATGTGACGTGTTGTCATGTCACTATTGAAATAAAGTGAATTAAATTGAATTGAAGTGTTCATCCCGGTACTTGAAGGAACAAAATCTGACCATAAAGACTCCTCTAAAGGAGCAGCTGAAAAAAATCCCTAACAGACACGTTACCATAGCAACCTTATATCCTATCGCAAAAGTAAAACAGAACCAGACACAAACTGTAGCTAAAAGAAGGATCCAGATCTGGTTCTACTAAAGGACTCTTCTCTGAGAAGAAGCTGAAGCCCGCTGATGTTCTCACCTCCCGAAGAAGGCCACCTTCATGTGTCTCCTCAGCAGAACCTCTCTGATGGCGGCCAGTTTGGCGGCGCAGCTCTGCATCTCCAGACTGTGCTCCTCCACCGCCACCGGACCCAGATCCTGGTTCTGGACGGCCTCTGATATCACAACAGACAAACATGAGGCCCATCTACAGAACAGTTCCACTCAGACCCGTTTCTGAACCTGTCAGAACCTTTGTCCTGGACTGGATGGAGATAAATGGAAACCAAACACCCAGAACAGGACTCCCAAACCAGGCCACACCAGAACCAAGCAGAACCTATAGTGTGTGTTTCTGACCGTCCACAAAGACAGAACCGGTCCTCACGAACTCCAGCAGCTGGTCGAAGATGGATCCGATGGAATGTTTGGCCACGACGAATCGGTGCAGAGGAGACGGGTCCTCAGCCTCCATGGTCCCTGCACACACAGAACCAGAACAGAACCCAGAAGTTCTGTTGGACCTCAGCAGAATGTTCTGACTGTGGAGGAGATTAACCCATTCCAGCAGAACATCAGCTGAAACAGGAAGTAGAAGGGACCTACTGCACCGGTCCAAAGTGGAACCAACCGGGTCAGCTTTGGTTCTTTTCTCTTATTTTGTATTTTTGATTAATTTCTAAATCAAAACTATTTCATTTTCCATCATTTAATTTCTTGATCAATAAATACATCAAATATTTAAAGGAATTAAATAATAGTTTGATAAAAACCATAAAAACCATAAATGAACTCCTGCAGCAGTTCACTGGAGGTCCGGTCTGGTTCTATCTAAGCAAGCAGAACCTCTGGAGTCACCAGAGAAGGTTCTCCTCTGACTCTGGGATCTTTAACGTAGCTGCAGGTAACGCAGCATAAAGACCTAAAGTCTGATTCCTCCAGAACCTTCTACATCCCGCAGATGCTTGCCGTGTCACACGAGAGGCTTGTTTTTACCGTGATCTGAGGGCCTCTCTGGTTCAAAGGTCAGCCTGTCCCAGTGGAGTCAGCGCCGGTTCCCGTCCTACCTGGGTCCAGTCGACAGAACCCTTCCTCACCCTGCCAACGGCTTAGTGCCTCAGAGCGACTCTGATCCTCTTATCAGGATTTAGACCTGCAGCCACCTGCAGCCTGCAGCCTCCCACGGCTGCTGCATCCCCCCCTTCCCCACAGCCTTCCGGTCCCTGCAGGTTCTGATCGTCCTTGAAGTGTCCTGGAGCTTCATGCAGCCTCACCTGTATTGGACAGTATCTCTGGCTCCGCCCCTTTTTAACAAGCTTGGACTCCTCTCAGTCTGGTTCTGATTGGAACGGCACCAGGATGTCTGCAGGACCCAGGGGAGGTTCTGTTTCAGTGCTGAGGGAACCGTTGGAGCTGTTGGTGGGAACCACGTCCTCCCAGACTCTGCTGCCCTGAGCTGTGGGGTTCCACAAGGCTCTGTGCTAGGGTCACTTCTTGTTATGGTTTCTATGTTTTGTACTCAGCTGACTTTTCATGCTGTCTCTAAAGGAATGAAAGATTTT